CATCTAGATGTGTATAAGAGTCAATTTCAAAACTTTACGTATTTCTAAAGGGAGTTGTGATGAGACCATGGGAGTCGAACCGTTGAGTTTAGACCATTGCAACTTGCAACAGGGGCCCAAGGGCCAAGGGCATGGGGCCTTGCGAAGGGTTAAGACCGCGGACTGCCGCACGGCGGTGGACCGACATAAGTACCTCTCTTCATAGACTTCCACTATGTAGGTACGCGTACGTTATGTTAGTAATGTTACGGTTTTTTATTGTTACCATTACCAACATCCAACATTAAACACTAATGAAATAACTTAGGTATAAGATTTTAGTTAGTATAATTACATAATATTCATTTAGTAAAATTCTATGTTTAGTTGTTTATAAACACTCGAAAGTTAAAGGGCAGAATTTTTTATAGCTAAAATTATCATGAATGCAATTACTATGCATCATTGAATATTAAGAAAAAGAATTTTAAAATTTTTTATCTGTCAAAATTACTTATACTAATAGGGTAAACGCGGTATATTCTGACACATTAAGGACGCATTGAGAAATGAAAAACTATAAAAAAATAACGTTAATAACTGTATGTGTTACTCGAGTTCTGTTTGCTTTATGTGACTCGCAAAACATCGTACTACGCACCAGCAACAATGAAATGTCACAAAATGTTGCCATATTTATTTAAAAGCCTTTAGAATGCAAACCTACCAAATCCCTAGATTCTGACACTGTGTGTGGCAATATTCGGCACGTGGTGAGGCGTATTCTGTCCGCGCTTCAAATTCTACTGATACGTAATGCCGTCATCCACGTGTTTGAATTCCGTTCGCCGTGTGAGCTGTATTGGAATACAACACGGCTTTGAATTAGAACACTAATAAATATTGAACACTACTTAATTATGCTTTTAATTAACAACTATCAAGCTTTTAATTAAGCAAATTTTAATTTTTATACATAGCTTGGAACGATCTGTGTGTGTCCAATTCAAGTTGTGACGGAATTAGTTTTCATGTGTCTAAATCCATTTCTCAACTTAATCATCTATTAATTTATTTACCACTTGAAATCAGCAAATACAAGTATACTTAAAGGATTCCTAATATATTCACAGACGTATTTATGATTAAATAGGGATTTTAAAAAAAATATAAGAGAGAGAGACGTTACTTAGCTTCTCATATATCTTAATGTTAGAGACTCGGAGTGATTACTCCACCAATTTTACGTTACGTTCAGGTTCAGGTTCAAGATACTGGTATTCATTACTTATCATTTTGTCAGGTGGTCTGCCGAGTGGCATTTGATTTGGCACGTGAATAAGGTTCTCTTTTTGGACAGGTTCGGCAAAATATAGTACAGAGAGAGGGTGTAATGAAACACTGATACATTTCATATTAAATTGAGAAATTTAAAGTTCACATCCTACGTTAACAAACATATCTAGTAGGTACATGAAAAAGGCGAGCTGAACACAAAGTCCAAAATCTATCAGTTAAATCATCATCATGTAAAATCATCTAATTTTACCGTCATCATCATGTAAAATCATCTAATTTTACCGGAAAAAGCGTGTGATCCGTTGCAGTTCCGTTGAGCCGTACGACTGTTGTAAACGACCGTAACTTGCGCACATATTTACGGCTGTACGTTCCGCGACCGTATTGCGGCTGTCCCCGCGCATCGCAGCCGTATTTCAGGTGGCCGTACTGCAGCTGTATCGCGTGTCTCTCTTCACAGTTGCTCTTTCTTCATAGCTGTCGTATCTCGTTGATATAGATGTCTCACGGTCAGTCTGGCCGTAGAGTTGATGATGACCGTACTTCAGAATAGTAGCGTAGTCTTCATTGTCGATGATGTTACTTCGGCTCAATGCGGTGCTTCGGCGGTTGAAGATGAATACAATATCGTACTGCTTCTTCTTGATGGAAATCGTGACTATCGTACTGAAGATTCTTGGTGTAGAGCTCGAAACTTAGATCTTCTGATGAAAATAGTGACCGTATAATTTGTTGAAGTCATAGCCGTCCATTGTATATGTTTGACGCACTCACAGGAATCGTAACTGCCTCAGTGAGTCTAAGTTTCTCGCAAGTTGCGACCGTCAATGTTTGAAAATGGTAACACCGCGGCCTCACGGCCGCAGCCGTTTGTACGTCCGCTAACTGCAGACCGCGCGTGCGTGACGGTCTCCGCTGTAGAACCAACAACAACCCTTGGCGCGAAATCTGAGGTCCTTATATACGCTAGAGTCGCGCACACTTAAGCCTAACCCTCGAACTGACGCACATTCCTTTGAATGGAATGTCCCTCGCACTGAGCGCCAACGTTTCAATGTAAACAACCTTTCCCACAGTCTCGACACAACGGCACCGCATTCTTAGCATTCTTAACATCTATGCATAATACATGTTCAATATTACCTACTGTCAATATTACCTACTTTATTCATTTAAAAGTCTCAAACCATAATATTCTTCCTATACAAACAGTTATTCACTCTTTGGTAGAGCAAGGTCAACTGTCAAATTTGACACATTTTTCGATGATCTCACTGGGTAGCGTGCATTGTCTCTCTTTGGATCTCAATATTTTCCCACTTGATGGCCAAGACCTAGTGTTTTGGCAGTAGTTCGACGGGCAAATGTATGACGTCACCATTTCAACCATCAACAAATGCATGAAACTAAAACAAAGCTTAATATAAAGGAAAAACGAGAAGTGACGGAATTACCCACAATGTCGGAATATACCGCGTTTACCCTAATGGGTCAATTCCAATGTGGAATGTGGTGCAGCTGACAAGGTTGTTGCAGGTTGTTTGTCAATGCTCAATGGCATGTTGCTAGATATGGTAGTACCATATCAATAAAGGAAAAACAAGTAAAAATCACAGAAAATGTCATTTATTCTACATCTACATCATCTACAATGAAAGAGGAGGACTTCAGAGTACCGTAAAATGGGGTAACGTAGACCATTGGGTTAACTTAGACCGGGTGGTAAAATCAATTATATTTTTTGGTAAAATAACTCCAAATAACTCCAGGTTTTGGTGCATTGTAGTAGAACTCTTCTAGTTACATATGCAAATGACAAACTTGAAGAAAGTGTCATAGTTTGCAAATGGGGGGCACCACCCCATAATGAGGGAAATGTGACTACCTAATGGCAGCCCTGATGGGTAATATTGACTGGCTTGAAAATTAAGTTAAAATTACCATATATAAGACTCAGAGTCTGAAACATAAAGAAAAAACATAAATAGGCTGTCAAACATAAAATATGTTATATATGGTAATTTTGTATTAACTTCTAAGCCGGTCTATGTTACCCCGTCAGGGCTGACATTAGGTGGTCTAAGTTATCCCATTGGGGGGCGGCGCCCCCCATTTGCAAACTATGACACTTTCCTAAAATTTGTCATGTGCATATGTAACTAGAAGAGTTCTACTACAATGCATCAAAACCTGGAGTTATTTAACCAAAAAATAAATAAATTGGAGGGGGTACACTGACAGGCTTTATATAATAGCTTTTTTTTTTTGTGGGTCACATTTTTAATTTTTTAACCTATTAGATATGCAAACTTTTCAAATCTTTCTATTGTGTTATGTAGCCTCAGTATTAGGCCTTTAATGCCCATTGACAAAATTTTTCTATGTCAAATAGTTTTTGAGTTGTGGGGGTTTTTGTTAAAAAAACTAAAAGTGGTCTAAGTTACCCCGCTGGTCTAAGTTACCCCATTTTACGGTAGTTTGTAATTAAAGAGTACACTCTGCATGCTTCAAATGTTTTAAGGTTATGTTATATTTCAAGTATCCCTTATTACTCCATTCCCAGAGGTAATTCAGGAGGCTTTTATTTTGCATCTGGCATCTTACAAATAGCATATGGAATTTTTCAGAGATGCCATACAATATCCCTTGCAAAGATCTTTAAAATGAGCCCAAACTTGTTTATGAAATGTTTCATGGTAAGAAGTTATTAACAAAAAGTGCTCACAACTGTCCCTTATTACCTCGTTTGACGGTACTACCTATCATGTATACATCTCTGACCTGCCACACATATAAACTTGACTAATACAGTAGGTATATACAAGAAATGGAGGTGCCAGGGATCAAACTCGGGGCTTTTTGCATGCAAATCAAACACTCCACCATGGTATATATGTTACATTGGAGCTGCAAAATTTTGCAGTAGTAAGTAGAAATTCTCTGGTCCTGCATTAATGCAGGCAGTGAGACTGTTGAACACCAAATACCAATTTACATGGTTTTAATTGATTGATCAATTGATTGTGATAGCATCTGCTAATGCAGATGGGCACCAATTTAAGATGGAGATGGTTGATATGAAACTTGAGTAGATGACAATATGGTGACCTGAAAGGATTACTTTGAAGTTTGAAATCTGAGTCAAATCTAAACTATCAGGCAGATTCTCCTAAAAACCGCAATTAAAAACTATTATGCTTATATATGTAAATATGTTTTTTATGGGCAAAAAGTATACAAGTATTGACCTATACTAAAGGCTAAATAAATTCATACATTTTTGACATTGAAATAAGTCTATTTAAGTGCCTGCATTAAACTCAATTTATTTCAACAGATCAAGTTATTGACATAAATTTCCATGGAGAAACTGGTAAGCATTTTTTGCTAAAATGTTTGTATTTAAAAGAAACTATATTCATCAATCAGTCTCCAGAAACTATGTTTTCAAAAATTCAAGTAAAATTCTGGTCCTTAATCAACCATGTTGGTCTTCAATACATTCCTTTAAATCACAATGCCCAAATTTACTTCAAAAAGACTTGGTTTTAGTCCCAAGATGTTGGTGGAGTAGACATGGGGGAAAATTCCATTTCTCAAGCTCAAATAGCAACAAATATAAAAACCCAATCCATCAACCCAGCACTAGAGTAAAATTACAACAAGGACTCCAGCTACGCAGCAAAAATGTTTTAGCAAGATCTCTTGACACCAAGTCACATGAAACTTTTGATGGAAAGAAGGAAACCTCCAAGTCCGAGACAGCAGCAGTGAGTATAAATTGATTCATGATGATTAGTTGATGATTAATTCTTCTACTTCTACTCATTTGTAATAAAAACTAATTCGTTTTAGGAGTTAAACTTTTCTTGGACCCATACCTTTAGGAATTGTTGCCATGAGTATTTCATCCAGTTCATAAAAGTTCAATCCAAAAGTCCATACTTTTTTTTATTATATATTAGGTTTTAATTCAATGATCAACTAGTATAGTTTTATCTATTCTAATGAAGTTATGGCTATTTAATTAGCAGTGTAAACCTGCATAATTTGCATTCAAGCTAGAAAAAAACAGAGTTTTCAAAATGTTTGCAAATAATTTTTTCTTTATCAATTCAGTGGAAGAGCTGGAATGCTGTTCCATTTAAGTGCTCTACCCAACACTGACCATAACATCAAATGACTGGATTGTAGAAATAAGTACAACACTAAATCTGATCTTAATGCTCTTGAAATTACAGTTGGTGTCTACTAAAGGTGAAATCGAAGGCCCTCTACTCCATCATTCAGTTAGTGCAGCTGTAGTCATCACTCACCACTGCAGTGGCTGCAATAAAAATAAAGGTATTTCTTCTAAAAAATTTCAGTGATTTTAAAGCATCGCCAATACTGAAAAATATTTTAACTGCTGGAATGAATGTTGTAAATGAAGAATAAATCTTTTAAATATTTGTCCCAAGGACTACTACACACAGGACATGCATAGCCTATGTCCAGCCTCTGCTAGCAGAGGCGATCGCCTACACTATGAAAATGCTGTTGTTTTAGTGGCATCAACAAATGATATGCCCATAATTGTTTCATACAATAGTATTACAATGTGATGAATCCAAAGGCATTATATTTATCAGAGCAATAGAATTTTTGCCGGAATGTTATGAGTAAATGTATACTGACTAGTGACTCCATTTAAATATTTTTTTTATCAGTGTATGAAGGCAGGAAAATGGTACCTACTTTGCTTAGTACAAAATTTTGAACTTCAAAACTGGCAAAAAGTCTATGGTTCTGACCAAGGACTACTACACACATTGTAATACTATTGTATGAAACAATTATGGGCATATCATTTGTTGATGCCACTAAAACACCAGCATTTTCATAGTGTAGGCGATCGCCTCTGCTAGCAGAGGCTGGACATAGGCTATGCATGTCCTGTGTGTAGTAGTCCTTGATTTGTCCAAAAAAGAAGTGTTGCACTTCATTCACTTAAGTTTGTCTCACCTGCTATGATCAATTATATATAAATTCATATGCATTGTAAATTATAGTTATTGTTGAGTTTATATGTCAGTCTCATCACATATTATTTTGTTTTCCTTTAGGTTCTCCTCAAAGGAATGATGATGCTGTCCTTGCTAAATTGACTTCTGAACAAGCAAAAACTGGTGTTGTAAAAACTGCACCCACTAACAATTTTTATGTGAGTACTTGTTATGTATTTAAGCTAGCTATGTAGCTTTTACGCGTCATCTTGGCTAGCTGAAATACCAAATCTGTAGTTATTTATAAAATCTTGTTGCTTGACATCTATCCATTTGGTATCAATATTTATGATGAAATTTAGAGGAAAATCTTCCCAATTTAATTTTAGGCTCATACCATCCATTTAGTAATGAAAACTACAATTGTTAAATTTTGATCGCTTTTTTTTTCTCTAAGATTCATATTTTATTGCAGGATGTACCATTCATGTCAACTGATGAACTCCTGTCACACACAACTGCTTGTGTCAAGCGGGTCTCTGATCAGGATGAGGTAGGAAATATGTGTAGTGAATTGAAATGAGGATATTTTTTTATTTGAATTTTTTAGTTTGTTATATATTTAGCTTTATTCATACTTAACACATAAATGAGCTGCTGTTACACAAGCCAATAAAGTAATTATAAATGAATAAAATTGCTAACCTGAAATGCCTGTATTTCCATCAGGTATTGTTAGACATTCTTCCTGTGCAATTTTTCTCCAATAATATCTTATGAATTGTCTCTAGTAGTAATTAGAATAATGTGAAAATTTTTATTCTTTTTCAGTGGGATTCACTGATCTTAACATCAACATCCGGTCCAACTGGTGATGTAGAGTACATTTTCAAGCAAGACTCCAGATTTAAAGAAAAGACAGAAGTTAAGCTCACTGGAGCACTGCCGGCATCTGCCAGAGAGTGGCGGGCTGTTGAATACAAGTTGGCAGACCTGCCTGCACATTACGCTGCTTTAGCCAAAAGTCGACTCACTAGTAATTCCCACTCCTAAATCAGTGAAGAATTATATAAATTTCCACTGAACTATTTTGTGAAATATTTGATTAACCTGAAAAAAATTAAACTTTTACATTTAATTAATATTAGCATATCAATATTAATTAATAATATTATTTAAATAATATTAATATTATATAATTAGATTTTGAAATTTTATTCACATTTAAATGGCTTTTATTTATCAAGTTTAATTTATAGTTTTATTGATCCAATTAACTTTGGTTGACTTTTATTTTTTTGGAATGTACCTAGTTTCTTTCATGCAGTTTAAGATAATTTTAGTTGATTTATTTGTATGGTTCAATGTGTGACACAATTATTTAGCTAGAATTTCAGTGAACTGCATGTGCAATCAATACTGCTGTAAAGATTTTATTGAGAATCTACAAAATCAGGATGAAGAGTATAATTTTTTTGATAATTTGCAGGTCTTGTGGTGGCCACAGCAGTGGGGGGTTACATAATGGCGCCCGCGGTGGTCTCCTTGTCCACACTTGTGGGAACGGTGGGCGGGGTGGCACTTGTAAGCGCTGCCGCCAACGCCACCAACCAGATTCTCGAGGCGCCCTACGACGCCCAAATGAGCAGGACTGCCAACCGAGTTCTTGTCAGAGGTCAGTGTGGGAAGGACGATCAACCGAGTTCTTGTCAGAGGTCAGTGTGGGAAGAACTGCCAACCGAGTTCTTGTCAGAGGTCAGTGTGGGAAGGACGATCAACCGAGTTCTTGTCAGAGGTCAGTGTTGGAAGGACGATCAACCGAGTTCTTGTCAGAGGTCAGTGTGGGAAGAACTGCCAACCGAGTTCTTGTCAGAGGTCAGTGTGGGAAGGACTACCAAGTGAGTTCTTGTCAGAGGTCAGTGTGGGAATGACTACCAAGCAAGTTCTTGTCAGAGGTCAGTGTGGGAAGGACAGCTTAGATAAAGTATTAAAATTGTTTGAAAAAGCGCGCTAAATTTTCGAACCACCTAGTATGGAATGTTTCTCGTGACTAAGCTTTAATGTTGCCACTCTGCCTGAACTTGTTTCTAATATGTTGAGAACTCTTAACAAAGCATTCCATACGAGCCTAGATAATTCTCAACTTTTAATTTTTTGGTAATAGTCAAATAGTTACTGTAGGCCTACAGAATGCCATATTTGCTTGAGGCTTTTCTGTGTGTTGTATATCAAAATTTATTTATGAATGCTCTTTAGCATTTTTTTTAAATGTTGACTATAGGGGGTCTTTAATGCTAGTAAAATTGTTAAGGGGCTCATCCCATCACCCATAAGCCCCGGGCTGTTCCATCACTAACATATTAACCTTCACCGTTCATCTTCATGTACCACTATTTTATTTAATATATTTTTTGCTTGGTTCCGCTCGGTTCGTTTTCCTGAGTTCCAGTTTTTGTTTTTTCCGTTAGTTGGTACTATATCGGCCGGTCCGCTGACCTTTAGACAGGGCGACCCCCAACAAAATGATTACTCTACCAATAATTTTTAAATTGTGACTGTCGTCTAAAAACATATATGTGAATTCATTCTTCATAAAATGAAGTCGTGCCCAGAACATTCATGATTGAGTAAAGTTTCATTGATCGCAGGTTTGCTGACTCCCCTACACGCGGCGTGTTTCGCGGGGGTGTGTGGAGTGGGGGGCGTGGGGCTGCTGCTGGGGTTGTGTGGGACCGTCACTGCGGGGTTAGGGGCGCTAAATCTCCTCCTCTACACCGCCTGTTACACGCCCCTAAAACGCCTCACTATCGCCAACACCTGGGTTGGGGCGGTTGGTGAGTAGTCCTGCTACATCCTCCGTCCATACATGCTGCAGTGACCGCCATACCTTCATCCGGTTACACTCACCGCCTATAATCTTCATCCTACTATACTCACCGCCTACTATACTTACCGCACCTTGAGCTCAATATTTTTAGTCCTCTGATGCATCTTTAGCTCAATATTTTAAGTCTTCTGATGCACCTTGAGCTCTATATTTTAAGTCTTCTGATGCACCTTGAGCTCTATATTTTAAGTCTTCTGATGCATCCTTGAGCTCTATATTTTAAGTCTTCTGATGCACCTTGAGCTCTATATTTTAAGTCTTCTGATGCATCTTGAGCTCAATATTTTAAGTCTTCTGATGCACCTTGAGCTCAATATTTTAAGTCTTCTGATGCACCTTGAGCTCTATATTTTAAGTCTTCTGATGCACCTTGAGCTCTATATTTTTCGTCCTCTGATGCTCCTTGCTCTCGTTTATTCACATGCTACTACTGCCAAACTATGTACTCTTCAATGGTATAACGAACGTGGTGCTCTCAATAACCTAGTAATGCAGCTGCTTCACCCAATTAATGTCCCAATCTGTCCGTAGATTTGTGCCTCATAAGTCATATCTCAGTAAAATTTCTTGATTAATATGTTTGAGAAACCAATGTCAGAGCCATCTCTCTCTTCATAGCATCATTTATTAACCCTTCAAATTCTGTAAAAATATTAAATAGACAAAGCAGGGAACACTCAAGGGCTGTGGTTTAATTACAGAATTTAAAATTCACGACGTGCTTTCTTCAATATTTTACATTTCACAAAATAGTTAATTTACTACACAGTTAAGTCAATACCTTCATTTATATTTCAACAACGATTGATGGCAGTTGGAGCAATACCTCCCCTGATCGGGTGGTGTGGGTGTGGAGGAGCTCTGGTAGGTGGGGACGCGTGGGGAGCGTGGATGATGGCGGGGCTGTTGTTCGCCTGGCAGTTCCCTCACTTCAACGCTTTGTCCTGGAACCTGAGGGCAGACTACAGCAGGGCAGGCTACAGGATGATGTGCGTCACTAATCCAGGTGAGGAAGTCCTTCAAAGCTATATATGCTTCCCCACTTTGCCACGTACTATGGACAGCTGAATTTACGTGTTTAAACTTCATAGTAAAGTTCTCTGTTCTGTTTTATTTCGTGTGCTAATTTTTATTTTGGTTTCTAGCGTGTAAAATTGTCCATGGGGTTGTGAAAAACGCAACGTGCATTTCTTATGGCTTTCAAGCTGTTATATTCAACTAGTACTTGAATTAATTGTATGAAAAGGATCATGTAACAATTAGAATGTAATAATACTCTCCGCTTCTCGTTCAATCAGTGGGCTGTTGTCCGTATTATTTATCGAAGATATGTTTTTTTTTAATTTGCAGCATGCAAAGCGTTGTCACTAATTACTGGTACACTCCTTAGGTCTGTGCCGCTCGACGTGTCTGCATTACAGCGCCGCGTTGCTGCTGCTGAGCTTTGCAGCGCCTTCACTCTCCGTCACCACGTGGACTTTTGCTGCAGACTCAGCGCCTCTCAACGCATACATGCTTTATCTCAGTAAGCCGGGGCTGTCCATTGTGTCCACACCAACAGTTCCTTACAATTCTCATCTCAGTAAACCGGGACTGTCCATTGTGTCCACACCAACAGTTCTTTACAACTCTCATCTCAGTAAGCCGGGACTGTCCATTGTGTCCACACCAACAGTTCTTTACAACTCTCATCTCAGTAAGCCGGGACTGTCCATTGTGTCCACACCAACAGTATCTTACATACTTTATTTCAGTGCGCCAGACTGGCCATTGTGTCCACACCAACAGTATCTTACATACATCATTTCAGTAAGCCATTACTATTATTATATAGCGGTTTCAGCGTTTATTAGGCCGTTTGCCTGTCGCCGATTCTTAACATCGCAGAACATTCACAGCATTTTGCGGTCTCGAACTCGCAACTCACTGCTACAATTCTGATGTGCTTGACCGCCCGGCCTCCTTGCCGATTTTGACCAGAAACTGGCGCACAGAGCTGGGATCGAACCCGCGCCTCTCAGCGCCAATCTTGGTACTCTGAACTGTAATTGCTGGTTACAGTTCTGTAACCACTGTCTCCACAACAACAGTACTTTAGATACTTTACCTCAGTAAGCCATTACTGTTTTTGTCTCCACGACAACAGTACTTTAGATACTTTACTTCAGTAAGCCATGACTCCATAGTTTTTATCGCAGACAATATAAACTCCCTTCCTCTTGACAAAGTTTTACTGACGAATGTGTTGTGCTTGATTTTTTTACTCACTCCTGTGTTGCTGGTTACCTCAAATATGCAGGGAAATTATTACATGTAAACCAATGTGTTCAGGATGTTCTGCATTTAGCATTTTAATTGATATTTTTCACACAGTTTTATCCAAATTCTAACTTATTCCACATTATACACCATCTGTTCTACTGATGTGTTGAACGATAACATTGACTTGTCATCTACGCCTGCTAATCCTCTGTTACGTGTTCTAGGTTACAGATTTTACCGCGACGGTGACAGCCGAAGTGCCCGCAACTTGTTCCGCTTTTCTTTGCTACACTTGCCGGCGGTCATCGTTTTGATGATCATCAGCAAGAAATGGCGCTCTGAAGATGCAAAAGCCTCGGAGCTAAGACCAGCTTCCCTGTACACCTCCGGTGTTGTGTACAATAAGAAATTGACACCTAACACCTCCGTAACTGTGCCTACCATCGCTGCTGCTACTGCTGAACCTCCTAACCACCGCCTCGACAGTTCTCCAGTCACTATTAAGTCGGCCGCCGGGTCTCACAAAACTCTTGAAAGTTATAACACCTTGGTTGGTGACGCAGCTGACGCTGAAGCTAATAGTTTAGTAGTTAATTTCACAGAGTCTAAAGTTCAAAACGTCAATGTTGTGTGCGCGACTAAAGAAATGAATGAAAGTCCGACGTGTGAGTTGACAGCACCACAGATTTTATCGCCTGACTCTTCTAGATGATCAAATATTTTAGCGATATTAGGAAATACTATAATTTATGTACATAAACGTAGCCTCCTGATGATAAGTGATATACCTAAATGCCTTTATCTAGATGAATATAGAAAATCAGAATTCTAGATTTAAAATATACCAAACGAGTTTCCGAATTTTGAACAGTGACTTGCAGTCAATTTCTAAAGCATTAAACTTGAACATATTTCTGATTGGGCTAAACCTCACGGGACTCCTGGTGTTGACGCGGGTCGATGAAAACTGCTAAATAACTTTCATTCAAAAGTAACTAATGACTTCACATTGTGGCAGTCAATGGTTCGATCTGGTTAAAAATTTTAGCCAATGTTCAATTATAATCGTGAGTGTAAAAGACGTATAGCATCATAAAAATTTGCTGGTCATGTATGGCATTTGTTGTTGCTGTGAAAATTTGCATAAAGTCTGCACAGATATTTGTGTGTTTCTGTAACCGGAAACCGGTATTCATTACTTCTGTTAGCAATATGAACTGTTAACTGACAAAACGAGCTGCTGGACGCGTGTTCACATCTCAATTGATATGTGGATGAACATCCTTCAACTTATGATGGATGAGTCATCCCGCAACTTCTCTTGGCTGATGAGTAACCTCATGCCACCTAATAAGCACGAACATCCCTATTTACTTTTAAATGGAGATGTGCTGTTGATGAACTTTTTCTGTGACCAAAAACGGTAAACTGGTACTAATGGTTAATGAATTTATTCACTCGGGAGACGTTTATTGATATAATCAGCTGAAATCAAGCATGATGGATGAGGCGTGACAATCGCAAAAAAATTAACTAGGTGCCATTTGCAATACATTCACCACTTCGAATGTTGAAACATTTTACGAATCGAATTCTTTTGTGAATCCCAATTAAATGCATCATAGTGTAATTAACATAGTTATATCTTGTTAGGAAACACATTTTTTTGAGTTAACATAGAAATAAATTCTAAGTTTGTACAAGTGCTGAAGGAACTTTATTAATGATCATCACAGATTACAATATATGTTGAACCAATTGTGGTCAATTCATCATGCATAATTTGCATTGAAACTTTGCAATGATTAATTTCTCTACTAAAAATTACCACTGATAAATTTATCAATTTTGATTGATAAACTTTCACTGACTCAAATGTTTCCAGTCAATTTTACTCTTAGCAATTCAGCAATAATTTGCACAGATAGATTTTCAAACAGGAAGAAATGAAGGTGTTGTTTGCATTGAAAATATCAAAATTGGTTCTTAAAGCATGAAGCTCATCAAGTTTAAATGAGCACTCCTGCATTCAGACATAGAAAAATGAAGGCATTATTATGTATTACCATTTACCACACCCTTCTACATCTCAAAAGTAAAAATCAAATGGCATATTTTCACTCCTGAGATTAATCTTACTAACATATATATCGAAAGAATAACACAGCTAGTCACAAAACCTCCATTTCGAATGGGTTTTGTTGGAATTCAAAGTCACTTCACAAGAGCTGATAAACACTAATTAACTTCCAATAGCCTGACACTTTGGGGATATCAAATAGCAGACTATTTCAATTTGGAGCGTGGCAAATATATTACAATGTATAGGAACAATAGCCAGACTAAATTCAGCTATTGCTCTAAATTTATGGACAAAATTAAAACACAAATTAAATTATTTGCAGTTGGGAAGTTAAAGCAACAACAACTCTGAAGCAATATCATCATGATTCAAGCGATGTTGTACATCACTTCAGAAGGAATCGAAACTCATTACACATTTCAACACGTGAAAAACCAAGTACTCAACTCTAAATTAATATTATCAAAATACTGGCACAACAACAGGTAATATAAATGAGCTGCTGAAAAAACAGAGAAACTTGGAAAAAGGCAAGGAAACATACTAGTGATATAATATTTGATCAAGCTTGTAACAAAGCATGGCAAAATATTTTCAGTTTCTATATTTTCACACAATGTTATCAATAATTTTTTTATAAGTTAAAACAGATGCATATCAAGTGGGCTTTGCATTTGAGGCTGTACAACACAATTTTTAAAACGAAAATATGGCTCTGGTGATATAGGTATGTGCACAACTTGCCAAACATACTTAGCCATAAAAGGAGATAAACTCGAAAGTTATTCTATAGAAGCTTAAAGCACACAAACTTAGTTAAAAAAAATGTTAATAATTGGTTACAGTAACAGTAATAATTGGTTACAGTAAAAACAACATATGGTGCAAGGAAAAGAGAGACAAGATTACTAAAATATCATTATGACTCTTTCTATGTAAATGGCTTAACAAAGTCATGACACCCAGACAAGAGGTACAGAGAGCAGAAAAAATTCAATTAAAAAATAAATAAATATAAAAACTATTTTTAAAAACCACGTTTTTCTGGTTTTTACAAAACTAAAAATGATGAAATAAAACAAATAAAAACATTTTTATAAACCACGTTTTCTTAACGGACAAAAAAAAATTTACTCTTACATAACATTAAAGTTATGTAAAATCTTGTGTAATGTTATGTAAGAGTAAATGTTTTTCTTTTTTGTCCATTAAGAAAACATGGTTTTTAAAAGTTTTCTTATTTGTTTTATTTCATCATTTTTAGTTTTGTAAAAACCAGAAAAAATGTTTTTTTTTTTTATATTTATTTATTTTCTACTTTTTACTTTAGCAATTTTAACAATTCAAATCAATTTCTAGCGTTGGCAAGTCTGGTTGTTCAACAAAAAACTCAATTCCCATCAGTGAAATTTTATTTTTTTTTTCACTTTTTTCTATTTTTTCTAATTTTTTTTTAATTACTACTTCTGATGATCAAATCTTGAATTGTTAGGCAGCATAAGCATGCATACCAAATTTCAAGTTTATAGGATGTTCAGAAGAGCTCTAAATTAAGGTCTGAATTTTTGATGACAGACAGACAGACAGACAGACACGAAACAAAGCTAAGAAAAGTGTGGTAAAAAGAGACATTTGTTACCATAAAAGTCACATTCATCCTCAAACATGGTTAAATGGAATTAAAATTATTAGCCCCATCACAAATACATTTTCATGGAAAATTTAATTTATAAAATGAATGAAAATCAATAAAGACCATACAATCAATTGTCTATCAAAATTTTGGAGTATGTCAGATGGGGTAAGACAGGACCGAAATCACTAACAAGCCTTTAGCATCTATACCATGAATAACTAAAAAACCCTAAACCTATCACAAGGTGTAGTTATGTAATGGGCTTCTAAGCTACAACTCAGACTTTCTGCATACAACATAGTTTTCAGTACAGATTAAAAAAAGTGAGCTGGTCCCATCTTACCCCACTGGGGTAAGATGGGACCGGGCATGGGGTAAGACAGGACCAACAGGTAATTCTTGTGTTACAAGGTTTTTAATAAAAGCACAATTCTGATATTCAATATCACCAATATAGAAACACATTATTTGATTAAACAACCACTTGTTACTGTTTTGTGTTGTGGGAAGTCAACTCTAATATCAGTCACATTGGAGGTTTTGTCACGAGAAAACTTTGTTAACATTAAATGCAGCCATATAATCATATGTCTTTTGAGCAAAAAATATGGATGATATTATATAGCTGGCATAGTTAATTATCATTTTATACTTTACTTTTGCTAGCAATAATAAGAAGTCCAAGAAACTTGCAAGAAACTCCAGTATTTTAGCAATAATGCCTTATTCGTGATTGAAATTTTCAAAGAAATTTGGTGAGAGTGAGCAAAAGATAAAAATTTTGACCGAAATACTCCAGTTACTGCATAATAATATATTAATTTAAAAACTATTATTGATATACTGTAGGGTAATAGAGGACCATTTGTGGGGTAAGACTGGACCATATGTGGTGTAAGATAGGACCGTTTGTGGGGTAAAACCGGATCATTTAGTGGTCCCGTCTTACCCCATGTCTGGTCCTTTTTTACCCCATTTCAGAATACATGTCAGGCAATGATTGTAGCAGGTAGGAATGCCAAGTATGTCTCAAAAGTTGCTTATTACATGAGGTTACCTGCCTACATCCACAAACCTGGTCAAAAAATTTTTTGTCATTAGACAAAGCTTATTTCCTAAACAGGGTTAACTATTTTGTGACCCTTCTTCACATAGGTTTTCTTTAAAAATTAGCCAGAAATTCAATATTTGCAGAAGAGGGTTGAAACAAACACTGAAATGACAGGCAATGATTGCTCTAACATATTATTATGTCAAATGAAATGCAGTGCAATTAGAATGCACACCATGGGCTGGTCCTTTCTTACCCCATGAAGGCTGCGATCCTGTCTTACCCCATTTGACTATATAATATATGACACACATTTTTCGCTCTTGTTCTCTAATTTAAAAAATTGAAATTGTATGGGTACGGTAAATGTTACAAATATCTTTCCTTAAAATAATCACTACTAACTACATTTATGGAGCTACTAAAAACATGAATTCTTTGGTATTTTAAAGACTGCAGAGAGCAATAAAACTAATAGATACTAGAAAGCTGATGCTATACTTTTAGTTTGGCTTATTAGGTACATATTAGTAGTGTTAGTGTGTAAGCTCGCTCTATAGTATATGTTTTTCTTACATTTTAAACGTTTAAACTTTGTCTTGCTCTAAGATTTATTACTGGTTAAGTAGTATATCATTGGAATTAACTATTTTTCCAACAGCACTCACAGGTAACCTTGCATAATGCTATAATTTTTTGGTTGCTAACTGAAGGATAGTTCTTTTTCATCCTTGCTTATGATAAAAATTCTGTCATTTTTATTTCTACAACTAAAGATTGCATTCAACCTTTGAATAATGTAATACCATCCTAGAAATGGAATCATGCAAACATTGATATTTTTCAAAGAATTGATATTAGGCAGAGTAAAAAAATACAACAATGCAAATACTTGACAGTAAAGGGCTATGCATGTTAAAATTATCAATGGTGCAGGAAGATCAAAAACATGATAAAGAATTGCAGTTTTCACTTCTGAGCTTGGAGAAGTTGCAGCTGATCTATCCTTCAGTATTTGAGACTTTTGACTATTTTGCAATATAGGATCTAAATGTGGCAATGTCTTCAAGTTATTTTTTCCAGCTAGATTTTTAGGTCCATCATCCTGGTGGAGTTTAGAATGCGAGATTGATAATGAAGTGAACTGATCAGCTATATCAAGCAGATAATAAAAACAGATGAATGAACCTCCTAAGAATATAGCAAGCAGGAGCCATGCTAATCTCTGTCTCAAGTTCATTGTGTCTGCACAAGGATAAAAATTGTAACATAAAATGACATATGAAATTTCTCACATAACAATACTGAAATCTGCAATACAGAGCAATTCTTTTGTATTGTAAAATAGTCTCCCAAACAATAGAAAAGTTACTTGAGATGCACAACATGAA